CCACAAAAAAAAAACCCTCCAAGTTCTTTTTTTTTTTTCTTCTTTTCAAGCCTTTCTATTTTATATTGGGAGACAATGCTCACAGTGTGAGTAATGCCCATCAGTTATCAGTAATTTAGCAGATTGTGTGCCAGTGTTGACATTTGTTCTTGGCTTAATTGTGCGTGAGTGTGTGTTTTAAACAATGATACAGCTGTCCCCACTCCTGGCAATGACAGCATAAAAATGGTGCTTGCTGAATCTGGCATCTTGATCACTTAGCCATGTGTTTTACTCTTTTGTTTGCTGCAATTCTGGGATCAGAATATAAATTCGGCTTGGAATGGAACCTGGCTCCATCCTGAGAGCAAAAGCAAGGACTACAGACTGTGTTACACAACCTTTGCTAGGTCTCTGACTCCACTACAGAGATTCTGCAGGTTAAAGATACCTTCTTGAAGAATGTGCCATGGATTCCTAGCTTCCCTGATTTGATCTGAAGAAGTCAGGTTTAAAACACCATCGGGATAAAAGAGCAATGTCAGTAAAGGCACCCTGGACTGTTGCTGGTCATTTGCAGAGTATTAAGAAATGGAAACATATCCTTGACAGAGGTAGAGTGTTGCTACAAAGCCCTAGCATTAGTCCTGTTCTCTGTTAATTCATGCCACTAAAGAGAGTAAATACCTCCATGGAGAGTAAGGATCTGTGGAGTTGTTTTTGTCCTTCAACTATTTTCACTTTTGGCTTCATAGGCTTTTTGCTATTAGGTTAGCTGATTCATGTTTGTGTCACCTCAGATTGGGGACTATTCCTTATCTGGCCATGGCAAGTCTGAACAAAATATCTACTAAGAAACAATTTATCCTTTTGGAAAACTCTTGGGCAGTATCCTCTAAAGCTGAACCATACATACACTGTCTGAGTTGACAATTTCAGTTCCAAATACAGACTTCTAGCAGTATGCATGCATTTATTCACCAAAAAACACATGACTACAAGGTTCATGGTGGCATCAGCTACTCACATGTCCAGTAGGAAGGATAAATACATAGTTCTACAGCCATTCAAGGTAAGATTGAGAAAACTCTCACTTTATATGAGGCACTGGTTTTCTATGTTATGAAACAAATGACTATAAACTTAGTAGCTTGAGTAATACTTGTGAACCCCCAGTTGTGTGGGTTGTAAATCTGGGTGCAATTTTATTTGGAGTTTCTGCTGAGGGAGTCTCAAAGGTCAAAATCAAGTATGAGGTGGTTGGAGCTCAGGATCTTCCTGGACGCTCATTCCAGGTGTTGGTAGAATTCAGGGTCTTTTTTGTGATTGGTAGACTGGGTCCCCCATTTCCTCACGCTGTCATCTAGAAGCCAATCTCTGAGAGGCCATCTGCATCCTTCGCCAGTTGGTTTCCTCTATCTCCAAAGGCTATTATAAAGAGCCCCATCATATCAGTCCCAGTATACTTCCTTTACAAGAAGCCCAGTCAGGCCCCTGAATGGCAATCTCCCAATCTTCATTCTAGCCGATTTCCACCTAATTACAACTTCCTTGCCCAGAAGCACCAAGACGTATAGTCATTGAATGGCTGGGTAAAGAATAAGAGAGGATGAGGATTTTGCGGTCATTGAGAGGTCTACCCACTACATACAGTGGCATGGAGACTTTCACAACCAACACTGAGTCGAAGAAGTTAGACGTAAAGAATACGTACCATATGAGTTCATTTAAGGGAACTAGAGGACCAGGAAGTACACTTACTTTTGGTGTTTGAAGTCAGAATGGTTGTTAACCTTGAGTAGTTAGTAACTAGAAAAGAGCCTGTAGGGGGCTGAATATATTTTTCTCTTCCTTTCTTCTTTCCTTCCCTCCCTCCCTCCCTTCCTCCCTCCCTTCCTCCCTCCCTCCATTCCTTCCTTCCTTCCTTCCTTCCTTCCTTCTCCCCTCCTTCTTTCTGTCACTCCTCCCATCCCTTCGTTCCCCCCGCCATGCTCTCTTTTGAAGTGCTGGGGTTTAAGCTTAGGACCTAGCACTAGCTGGGTTTGAGTTGTACTATTTTGGCCATGCCTACATCCCATGTTTTTTGTTTCTGAAGTATGTGCTGGCTGGGCTCAGTTTCTGAAAACACAGCTAGCTGTAAATTTATGGGTCTTGTACTTTTTGTAAATGTATTATACTAAAATTACAAAGTTCTGAAAATAGGCCAAGGTGGAGGCTGAGGCCTATAACACCAGCTACTTGGGAAACAAAGATTGGGAGGCCCAAAGTCTAGGCTGGCCTAGGAAACTCAAGATCCCACCTGAAAAATAAAGCAAAGAAATGTTAAAGGTGGGGGCGGGGGAAGAGATGGGGTGAAGTTCAAGTAGTAGAGTACTTGTCTAGCTAGTTCAAGGCCCTGAGTTCAAACTCCAATAATGTAAAAAAAAAAAAGTTCTTAGGATAATTTGATATTTCTACTTGAAAATATTTTCTTTAGTTTGTTCAAAGAAGCCTGTAACCAGACTACTCTTAAGAGTGGGTAGGACCTGACGGGAGGGAGGACTGAAAAGGAAATGATGGTGTCTTGCATGGACTGGAAAAGACTAACCAATTCTACGAGTGCCAACTACATGAAAAATCTAACTTCTGTCATCAACTTGGGACCTGTGTGCAGACCTGCTACCTGACTTACATGGCCTAGTGCAAAGTGACATGCAGGACTTCCCTGTTCAAGAATCTGAAGATAGGGCTGGGAAGGTGGCTTAGTGGTAGAGCGCTTGCCTTGCATGTCTGAGGCCCTGGGTTTGATTTCTCAGCACCACATAAGCAAAAAGAAAAAAGCTGGAAGTGGCCCTGTGGCTCCAGTGGTAGAGTGCTAGCCTTGAGCTGAAGAGCTGAGGGACAGCGCCCAGGCCCAGAGTTCAGGCCCCACGCCCGGACCCCCAAAAAGAAAAAAAAGAATCTGAAGATAGACAGGTGTGGTTGCACACATCTGTAATTCCACCATTCAGGAGACCAAGGCAGGATTGTGAGTCGAGGCCACCATAGGCTACAAAGGAAGATGTCTCAAGATGGAAAACAACAACAACAACAACTCCACCAAAATTTAAAAATAACCAGAGTAGAGCAGTAAAGCCAGTGGTGTGGGCATGCCTGCATGAGCACTGAACATGCACTCTTAAGCAATCTGTCGTTGCCTGAGTGTAGGGGAGAAAACTGCATTTGAGAACCTAAGGATTCCTTGATAGATGAATTGCTCTGAACAACTAGCTTTGATACATACATCTGTAATGTAGGTTAGTCAGAGGCTAGGAGAAGAAAATTCATTAATTTACCTGGGTATAGGCACTCTTTGATGTGTAAAGAAAAACACAAGAATTGTCATATTACAAGGATAGGCTTTCCAAGTGTCTGGTTATTTTAGTTTAATAAATGAATTGTTTTAAAAGTCCACACTTATGACCTTTCGGGTAATTAAATAATACATACAAGATCTACCTTGGATTTGTGAATTAACATAGCACAAGATTCCAAATAATTGATGGAGTCCTAATCGCAGGAATTTGCTGTGTATTCTTTGGTCTTTCCAATTCCAGGAGAAAATTACCAAATGCCAAGTTCGAGGAGACTGGAAGCTGGGTATTTCCAAGTAAAGTTGTTCTTGAAGAGGTATGGGTTTTGAACACAAAAATAGTTTCACTCTGGAACCTCCCAGTGTGTGTGTGGAAGACCTAGGGTAGGGAGCCCTGGGATCGTCCAGCCAGGGATGAGCCGTGAATGCCCCCAAACACCTGACTCCAGGCGCTGGGAGATGATGTGTGAGGATGGCAGTTCTGGAGCAAGGTAGGGGTGGCATTTCTCCGGGGGAGGTTTTCTGCAGAGGTCAGGCCTTCTCATGTGATTATTCTCCTTGGCGTACACTCTGAAGCACAGAGTGCTTCCAGACGTAGTGACTTTCGGGGACCAACGTACCCTAAGGCGGCAGACACCCTGACCTATGACTTAAGCGTGGTTCCAAGGATGAGACTGGGTTCCTGCCTTGGTGATGGACAGCAGTCTCTAACGAACGGCTGGACAGCAAGGAGCTGTGGTAGGGGAGGAGGAAGAGGCCTGGGGAGGGAGGCCAGCAGCCCCTGAAGGTCTGCCTCGCCGAATTGGGCTCCGGGAGGGCGCGGGGCCGGCAGCCCCGCAAGGCCATTAGCTTGCCAGAGCGGTGCGCGCCGTCCTTGAAGGGCCGCCGGGCTGACCTTGCTCCGCTTTCTCCATTGAAATCCCTAGGAGCGCGCGAAGACGCGGCCACAGCGGTGACTCAGTTCCCTGCGCGCTGCATGCAAATACATGATCCATTCCCGCAAGCCCAGTTCTGCAGACTCCGCTCCCCGCGTCCTGCCCTTCTTTTAATACCACCGTTTAAGCCCCGCGTTTTGCGCGGCCCCCTCTGCCCCTCTCCACGGGCCACCTGTCATTAGACCCTCACCTTCCAGCCGCAGAACCCGAGGCCACCCTTCCCTAGCCGCGGGCCGGAAGATCAGACGCAGCCCGCCCCAGGCGAGCCCCATGCGCCCGGCAACGGCGATCTGGAGCACGCCTGGAGGGGGCGGTGCGCGGCGCACCCCAGCGCACCGGCGGGCCAAGCCCGGCCCGGCTCCCCATTGGCCGCCACCTTAGCGGGAGGAGCCGCTCCCCGCCTACCCCCCTCCCGCCCCCCGGGTCGGGGGCACCTGCAGTCGCCCTTCTGCGGGGACGTCGGCCGCTGCCCGGCACTGGCGCCCAGAGGTACAAACAGCCGAGGGAAAGGCCTGGGACCGCGGCGGAGCTTCCCCTGGCCGGCTGTGCCCTGCTGTCGCCGCGGCTCCACCAACGTGCGGATGCTGCTGGCTTTGGCTGCGCCAGCCGGAAACTTTGCCCCGCGAAGTCCTCCCGCCCGCCTAACCTCCTAACCGTGAGACGTCTGATCCACCGTGCGCCCCCCGGGGCCCCCAACCCAACGCGTGATTGCCGGGCCGCCCCGCATCCCGCATCCCCGGCGACCAGCCGCCAGGATGCGCTACGCAGACCCCTCGGCCAGCCGAGATTTGTTGGGGAACCGAACTTTGCTCTTCATCTTCATCTGCGCTTTTGCCTTGGTGACCTTGCTGCAACAGATCCTGTATGGCAGGAACTACATCAAGAGGTAAGAAAGTCCCAGAGGCTGGGTGGCATGTGCGGAGCCCACCGGCGATCGCCCAAGTGGCCGACGCTGTGGTTGCAGCGCCCACCAGCAGTGAGGAGCTGTGTGGGGTCTCCACTTAGCCACAAGCACTCCAGCCGCGGCAGGCTAGGCTCCTGGCCCTCCCCAAAAGCATCTCTAGCTCCTGCTTCATGCAGCTGGGGACCGGGAGGATTGGGGGGGGGCGGGGGGCGACAACTTTGCTCTGCTGTGAAAAATGGGGAGCAGTTTGGAATTCCAAGCAGCCACGTTGACTGTAAATTCCCGTGAATGCCCTGAGCATTATTTTTATTTTTATTTTTTTTAACCTGATGAGTCTTAAATTATTGTAGGCATCCTTGGTGGAGATGCCTTTTTCAACCCACAGGAGGGCTGGGTTAGTGTGTGGGTGGTGGTGGTAGTGGATTGTGACGATGCAGAGGGAATAATGAATTGTTGCAATCGAACAGCCACTGGATCTGTGAAACTCTCAGCCTCGTTCCTTCGGAAGCAGATGGTTGGTTCTCATCCTTAGTACCAAAGGGCAGAGATGATACAGAAGTCGGGCCCTTCTCACCTTGACCTCAGCCAGGGGCAAACTCCATAACAGAAAGGGCAGTAGGAGTTGTCATTTAGAAATTCAGGCAGAGCCTGTCTATTGTGTGCAGAAGATACAGGGAAATACCAAAATGCCTCCTTCAGGGTAACACTGCAGGTTACTCTGCCTGGTTGGGGGCACTGGGGTTAGGCTTTAGGCTGATGCTGTATTGGAGCCTCTGGTGCATAGAAGAGTCCTCCCTGGCCCCTTGCAGGAGGCCTGTCCTTTGCAGCTGTATCTCCCCAGCTTCACAGACTGTTAGGAAAGAAAATGCATCTCCAGCTGCATAAGCATCCTATTATCTTCTCAAAACTTCTCAAAAATAATGGAGCAGTTCTGTTTCCATCTTATGGCGTCAGTATCTATCATATGATCACTCCCTGGCCTGCCCAGAGAGTGGGAGAGCCAGGGTTGCTGCTGCTAGTCTTGCTTCTAGTAGGAAATTTAAAAAGGCAGATTGTTTTCCTACTTATAAACTGCCCCCCAGCTGGGGAGTATGAGACCTCCTGTCCCAAACATTTATTCCCAGCCACTTGCTGCCCTTGGCTTTTCCAGAGAGCGTTCATCCTTGGAGCACATGGTCTTTAAAGGACATTTGCAGAGTCTCTTATTGGATCTGATCACATCTGTCTCCTTCTTTTGTGATTATTGTTCCCCCTACCCTATTCCCAAGTAACGTCAGAACCAGCATGCTTCCATGGCTTCTGTCTTGGCATCTGTTCCTCACTGGGGGAGCATTGGGTTGCTGTCCCCACTGGTGCCTCCCCAGAATTGCTGGGGCTACAGGGACTCCTCCCTGGACAACAGCAGTTAGGTATCAGTGCCAGGGCAAAAGCCAACTACACTACTAACCTGTGGCAAGCCTGCCAGATGATCTGTCTTGTCTGTACCAGTTGTTTTCCATTCTCCTTTTTCCAGAGACCCCATTTCTAAATTACTTAGATTCCACCTTGCGGGCTTCACTCCAGAGACTGGGTGAAATCCAACCAAACAAGGAAAATCTGCCTGGGGCCAATCTCTGAAGGGAGCCTGGGTGCTATAAAGAAGCCAATGATGAGCTGGGCACCAGTGGCACCAGTGGCTCACACCTATAATCCTAGATACTTAGGGAGGCTGAGATCTGGGAATCACAGTTCGAAGCCAGCCTGGTCAGGAAGTCTGTGAGAGTCTCATCTCCAATAAACCACTCAGAAAAAAAATTAGAAGTAGTGCTGCGTCTTAAGTGGTAGAGTGCTAGTGTTGAGCAAAAAAAAAAAAAAAAAAAAAAGCACAGGGACAGCACCCAGGCCCTGAGTTCAAGCCATAGGACAGGCAAAACAAAACAAAACAAACAGGAAGCCAAGGAGTGGTCCTGGTGCTGGGGGAGGTGGAGGTCGAAGTCAATTTGGGAAAATAGAAGGCCATAAATGAGATAAGAATCAAGTGTTGAACTACTTGAGAGGCAGTGATGTAGAAGTTAGGGAAGACTGCCAGGAGGAGGCAGAACTTGAGTGGGCCTTGAAGAAGAGCAAGATTTGGATAGAAGAGTGAACTTGCATATCCAGAACTGAAGAGAGCTGGAACAGGGGTGGAAGGGTACAGATATGGCACTGGCCCCTCTCGTCTTTCCCACACCAGAGCCCACTTGCACTTAGTCCATCGTTGGCAGGGAGGGGGAGGCTGTTCCAAGTCCTGACTGGCCTATGGCTTCCACATCAGTTGTATTTTGTCACAGTGCTTATACACAGCACTTGCTCATCAGTCCTGATACACATCTTCATCGTCATGAGCTGACCTTAGGGATGTTTTGACCTGACTGCAACACTGCACCAGGATTTCTCCTGGAGGCCATTGATATACAGATTACTGGATTAGATTTCCTAGCGTCTGGTCTGGCAGATCCCCTGAAATGGATTGTAACAACAGGTTCCCCTGATACTTCAGTCCATCACCTTTTAGTCCTGGGCAATTCTGCCCCTACACAATGAGAAGTGACATTTTTGGTTGTCAAACAGGGGTTACTGGCATCCAGAAGAAGACGGTAAAGATGTTAGGAAGATCCTAGATGAGCAGTCTACCTCTTGCAACAAAGAATGATCAGCCCTGGGTGTCAGTAGGCCCAGGATGAGAAAGTCTGTTCTCAATGTCAAGCTCTGAGATGGTTTACTGCTTGCTTTCTAGCTGTACCCTGGGGGCCACCTATGTTTCTGACCCATAATACATGTAAATATAGGTAGTGAAGAAATGCTTGAAGATTAGGGCAGGTGTGTGTGCACGTGTGTGCAGGGATAGTACTTGGAAGAAACAAAGAAATAGAACAACAAACACATGGGTACTGGAGCACACTCCAGGATGGAATGAAGGAGAAATGTAGGAAAGCAGCACATAGATGTAACAGTAGCTAGAGCCTCTAATGAAATGTTTGGAAGACTGGGAAGGATGGCGTGAACTTGGTTATTCTACCATAGGAAGCCACATGTGATTTTTGAGCAGCATACTGACTTGAAAGAAGCCACTGGGAAGGAAAGTTATCTCTGCTTCATATAGGTGTTTTTAGAGCCCAGTCAAGAGTGAGGAGAACTTGGCTCAGAAAGTAGATACACTTTAGAGCTCAGAGATTCTTGAAGGCTGCACCACTGAGCTGCTGCAGAAGCAAAGCTCCTGGGACATGGAGTTGGTGGGCTCTTCCAATAAGAATTTCTTTGGACCCTTGGCCTCTTCTTTGAGTTGTGCAGTGGGGGCATATCTGAGAAGGCTGATTTTGAGTTGTCTGACTCTGGGGACCAACCTTGATTAGGAAGGAAGAAGGAAGAGCAGTGTAATGTCCTGGGAAGTATTTTACCTTTCCTGGAGAAAGCACAGGCTGTGTGGTTTAGGAGGAAAAGGGAGGAGCAAAGTTGGGACATTTGCCTTGATGGTCTCATTTCTTATGTCTGCTTCATATTAATGAAGATTGACTATATGCTGAGCACCACTGGAAGTGCACTGATTCAGGTCAGGGTCTTGGGGAGTTTCTGGGCTGTTGGAAAGACAGAAAGACACAAAACTCAAATATGGTCTATGCCTGAAGGAATAGGCAAAGGACTCCAAATGAGGAGGGAGCCATAGTGAATCAGTATGTTCAGGGTTCACAGAAGTGTTTGAAGGAGATCCTAAAGAGGAATATTGCACGGCACAGGTAGAGGTAGAAGGAAGGGGCTGAAAGTAAGTGAGCAAGGTGTGAGGAGCACAGGGAGGAACTGAGTGTTCTCCTTAGTAGGTTGTTTGCCAAGGTACAGGGGTGAAGTGGACAAGGAAAACAAAGTAGAAACGTGGTGAGTAGGGGCCTGTTGTTCTCCAAGGACAGAGCAATATGAAGTACTTAATAGAAGCTCAAAAAGATTGTTACACTAATGGAATGAAAAATAAATCAATTAATTTTTAATTTTTATTGTTATTTTGGAAGTGATATATAGGGGGTTACAGTTACATGGGTCAGCTACTAAGTACAGATTTTGTTGTTGTTGTTGTTGCTATTGTCGGTCGTGGGGCCTAAACTCGGCCTGGGTGCTGTCCCTTTGCTCTTCAGCTTAAGGCTAGTGCTCTACCACTTGAGCAACAGCACCACTTCCAGCTTTTTTTGCTTATGTGGTGCTTAGGAATTGAACCCAGCCTCATGCATGCAAGGCAAGCACCCTACCACTGAGCCACCTTCCCAGCCCTAAGTACAATTCTTTTTAAACCATGTCTCCCTTTCTCTCCCTTTCTCCCAATTTTTCCTCCCATCTCCACCCACAAGATGTACAGTTCATTTTCCACAGAGTGTCTAGTGAATGCCGCAGTTGTACTTGTTCACCCTTTGTTCCACCTTTTCTGTCTTCCTTACCCTCCCAAGTAAAAACCAGCCAGACAAAAGAAAAAGAAAACAAAACCACCAATAATAGCAACTTAAAAAAATCTTACGTTTCTTGGAGTTCATTTCATAAAATATTATTATTATTATTTTTTGGTGGTTGTGGGGCTTGAACTCTGGGCCTGAGCGCTGTCCCTCAGCTCTTCAGCTCAAGGTGAGCGCTAAAATGTTATTTTATGTGATCACATGCACATAGCTATTGAGCCTTTGTCACCCACTCTTGTGCATATCCTCCTTTGGCCTCAGTGTGTTCATGTTTAGAGACTTACATAATTTGTCATGTCCGTGTGTGTGTGTGTGTGTGTGTGTGTGTGTGTGTGAAAATGCTGATCTATGGGACTTGGAATGTAGCTCAGAGGTAGACTATTTGCCTAGAATGGGTAAGGCCCTGGTTTGGATCTTCAGCTCTACACACACATACACAAATACAATCACACCACTTGCTGGTCTGTGTGATGGGGTTGGATAAGATACTCAGGAGGGAAGAGAATGGAAAATGACAGTGGATAAGGCATG